AACGAACAGACATGTTTTTTAGTATTTTACATCACTTTATAATGTGGCTGTTTTTTTTTATATATTTATAATTTTCTTGTAATTTTCAAATCATATGTTTTTTATGATTGTCTACTGTTGTACTGATAAATATCTCCTGGAGGGTAAACTACAGGTCCTTCTCAAAAAATTAGCATATTGTGATAAAGGTCATTATTTTCCATAATGTAATGATAAAAATGAAACTTTCATATATTTCAGATTCATTGCACACCAACTGAAATATTTCAGGTCTTTAATTGTTTTAATACTGATGATTATGGCATACAGCTCATGAAAACCCAAAATGCCTGTCCCAAAAAATTAGCATATTTCATCCCACCAACAAGTGTTTTTAATACAAAAAACACCAACCTTCAAATAATCATGTTCAGTTATGCACTCAATACTTGGTCAGGAATCCTTTTGCATGAATGACTGCTTCAATGCGGCGTGGCATGGAGGCAATCAGCCTGTGGCACTGCTGAGGTGTTATGGAGGCCCAGGATGCTTCGATAGCGGCCTTAAGCTCATCCAGAGTGTTGGGTCTTGGTCTCTCAACTTTCTCTTCACAATATCCCACAGGTTCTCTATGGGGTTCAGGTCAGGAGAGTTGGCAGGCCAATTGAGCACAGTAATACCATGGTCAGTAAACCAGTTACCAGTGGTTTTGGCACTGTGAGCAGGTGCCAGGTCGTGCTGAAAAATGAAATCTTCATCTCCATAAAGCTTTTCAGCAGATGGAAGCATGAAGTGCTCCAAAATCTCCTGATAGCTAGCTGCATTGACCCTGTCCTTGATAAAACACAGTGGACCAACACCAGCAGATGACATGACACCCGAGACCATCACTGACTGTGGGTGCTTCACACTGGACTTCTGGCATTTTGGCATTTCCTTCTCCCCAGTCTTCCTCCAAACTCTGGCACCTTGATTTCTGAATGACATGCAAAATTTGCTTTCATCCGAAAAAAGTACTTTGGACCACTGAGCAACAGTCCAGTGCTGCTTCTCTGTAGCCCAGGTCAGGCGCTTCTGCCGCTGTTTCTGGTTCAAAAGTGGCTTGACCTGGGGAATGCGGCACCTGTAGCCCATTTCCTGCACACGCCTGTGCACGGTGGCTCTGGATGTTTCTACTCCAGACTCAGTCCACTGCTTCCGCGGGTCCCCCAAGGTCTGGAATCGGCCCTTCTCCACAATCCTCCTCAGGGTCCGGTCACCTCTTCTCGTTGTGCAGCGTTTTCTGCCACACTTTTCCCTTCCCACAGACTTCCCACTGAGGTGCCTTGATACAGCACTCTGGGAACAGCCTATTGGTTCAGCAATTTCTTTCTGTGTCTTACCCTCTTGCTTGAGGGTGTCAATGATGGCCTTCTGGACAGCAGTCAGGTTGGCAGTCTTACCCATGTTTGCGGTTTTGAGTAATGAACAAGGCTGGGAGTTTTTAAAAGCCTCAGGAATCTTTTGCAGGTGTTTCGAGTTACGTCGTTGATTCAGATGGTTAGGTTAATAGCTTGTTTACAGAACCTTTTCATGATATGCTAATTTTTTGGGACAGGCATTTTGGGTTTTCATGAGCTGTATGCCATAATCATCAGTATTAAAACAATTAAAGACCTGAAATATTTCAGTTGGTGTGCATTGAATCTGAAATATATGAAAGTTTCATTTTTATCATCACATTATGGAAAATAATGACCTTTATCACAATATGCTAATTTTTTGAGAAGGACCTGTATATCTTGACTGCAAGTATCAAGCTGTGAAATCCTTTGTTTTCTACGACTGATAGTGGTTGGTCATTTATTATGATGAAGTTTAACAACTTCTCTGTAAACATTAGAGCTCCGTGGTTTCAGCGACGTCTTCTTCTTGTTCAGTCCGAAGCAGGCAGTCTGATTTCGGTCAGCCGCGCTCAGTCTGTCCCTCCTCAGAGACGGGCAGACTGAGCGGGGCAGATTGGACGCGGCTGGCCGGGGTCGAGTCGCCTGTTACGGGGTGAGCAAGAGCAGCGCCCCGCTGAAGCCACGGAGCTCGAATGTCCATCATAAAACTAACTTTACCGCGGTTTAATGTGGCACTATGGCTCTGCAGACATTGCACATTGCTGTCTTGTTTTGTGGTGTTTCTAATGTAAAATACTTCCACACAGCGACATGTTTACATGAAAAGTGTGTTAGCTGTTAGCCACAGTGCTGCTAACTCAGTCCTCACGTTGTAGCTGCTGCAAACTATGAACTGGATTTCCTGAATGTGAGGCGGGTCTTATTACTCTGGGCTCATGAGACACGCTTTGAAACCAACATGCATCATGGATCGGAAATTTCTGCAGGATGGATCGGAAAAAATCCGATACGTAAATTATGCCATAGACATTAATACATAATTAATTAATTAATAGTATTAATGTCTAAGAATTATGCTGGTATCAGAGGCCAATACTAGATTGGATCGGCCACATCCCTAATAATTAGTGATTAGAACTCTCAATTGAGAACTTGAGTCCTCAGTTTGAATCCTTTTTGGGCTCTTCTGTGCAACTGTAAATTGTTCCTAGTTGTGACTGGGAGTGTGGATGGTTAGTCTCTTTGTCTGTCTCCGTGATGGACTGGAGACCTGTCCTGGGCGTCTCTGTGATGGACTGGAGACCTGTCCTGGGTGTCTCCGTGATGGACTGGAGACCTGTCCTGGGTGTCTCCGTGATGGACTGGAGACCTGTCCTGGGTGTCCCCTGCCTTCACCCAAAAGCAGCTGAGAATGGCTCCAGTCCTAAACAAGGGGGCGTAATGGATGACTTGTTGTTTTCAGGTCTCTCTTGTAAAGGAGTCCTCGAGGCTCAATGGGATTAACTTGTCTAAATAAAGGTTGAATGAATGAAAATATGTAAACACTATTTCTTTTATGTTAAACTCAATCTGTAACATTTGAAATTCAGTGTCTTTCCTAAATATTTTATTAATGTTTTTGTAGGAATGAACACATTTGTAACATTCATTCAAAATATGCCTTTTACTATGAACAAATCTGTAGCAATTTTTTAAGAATCTATTAACAGTAAAATTTTCCAATCAAGCCCTGTTTGCTCTAACTGTTGTATTTGTAACATTTCAGAATAACTCTACTCTTGCCGATACAAAATATCAGTAATGTAATATAATAAACAAAGTGACATTTTTAAATAAATCATGTGACATTAGTATTGATCCTCAGATCTGCAGCATTTTTAATAATAATAATAATAATAATACTTTATTTATAAAGCCCTTTAAAACAACCACAGCTGCAACAAAGTGCTGTACATATAAAATCATTTTAACTAATCATTGCATATTTGACTCTTTTTAAATAAATGATTTTTCACATATTTCATCCTTGCTTCTTTCAAACGCTCCACACCTGAAAATGCCTCATGAAAATCGTCTGCCTGCTCAGAGCTTTAACTCTGACCTTCTTCTTCAGTCTGTTGTGAGACACCAGGGGGCTGGTTAGCACTGAAGCTAGCGTGTTAGCTGATGAAGTGTCGCTCCACGTTGTGTTTTGCTGTCGCCACAGCCACTGATGAGACAAGATTGCTAAACTGTATACATAAAACTATTTCTTTAAAAAAAGTTATTGATTATTTTTATTTCAAATATACATCCTCGCAAATGTCATTTCTTAAATTTAAAAGTATAATTATTGACAATTTTTCTGTGGTGCTTCTTGATGGTGAGCGCTAACATGCCCCGCGGGTGAACCAAGAGGTCCCTGCAGGCGACCAGGTGCCCGCCGGCACCGTGTTGGTGACCCCTGCACTAAACACTAATAATATAAAATAATACGGTATATTAAAGAGCAGCCCAAACATGAGTCTGTAGTGAGCAGATGGGTATGAACTGCGTTAATTTGAGCTGGATCCTGCCGGAACAAGATCTGGGAACTCTTGACCGGGTGTGCTCTGGCAACTGTTTGCTCAGATCCGGTAACTCAAATCTCTGCCCTTAAAAATCCAAAGTCATCACACATTTTTATTTTGATTATTTATTAAAAATGCAACGAGAGGAGACGTTGCTCAGCCTGCGGAGTGGATGTTCCAGCCGCAGCACACGCTCCTGCCCAGGCTGGGAGGAGCAGGAGAGGAGGCAGGGGGCGTGAGGGCGGAGTGACAGGATGGTCACGTTTATACACGGAGGTGCTGCAGTGGAGTGTGTCTCTCCTCCTCCTCTCCAAACATTGTCCCTCCTCAGCGGCACTGCGCACTGAGAAACACCCCTTCTCCTGCCGAACTGAACCGTTCAGCGTCAGAAACAAGCATTTATTCAACAGAGTAAGCAAGAAAATGTATTTTATGTTCATGGATGAAAAACAGCGAAGTGTCTGTTGGGGCACAGTGTCTGAGACACGGACGGCATGTCCTGCGAGGATGAAGTGTCTTCATCCAGCACATTCAGCGGTGCGCCCTGCAGTGCACGTTATGCACTGGAGCATCTCCAGACAGCTCTACAGAGCACACACAACTGCTGATGTGTCTGAACTCCTGCTACATTTCAGACATAATGAATAAATAAAATCTTACAGTAAAACATAAAAATACAATGTGAGAAATGTTTGATGTCTTATTCACATTACATCCCTTATCAAAACAACGGTGCTTATTTGTCAAAATAACAGTGATCATAATGTCAAAAAGACAGTCCAATTGACTTTAATAAAAAAAATGGATGGATGGTCCTGAAGCCTTCATGTGCTTCAAACGGTGCCGCTTCAAGAATGGAGCAGGAGCAAAAACCAGGACTGGATTCAGTGGAGAAGAGTTCAGATCACAACTGTGAAGTGTGTGTGGGTGTGATTCTTTCGGCTGCTCCCTTCTTCACGGGTCACCACAGCGAGCAAACTTGCATGAAAGATTTGACAATTATATGTATTCACTTTAAAATAGCTATTATTCTTGAGAGAATTGGTATTAATTCCTACATTTTAACAGTCTTCTCTATTTTTATTAGTGGGATTTTTCGAACAGTCCCACCATTTCCTCGCCCCCTTTTGTTCAACATGGCTACTGAAATTCTGGTAAAGAAAGGGAAAGAAGAAGATGAGTCTATCCATTCTTTTGTTTCTAGGAGGCTTGGAAAGGAGGTAATGAGACCTGTCATAGGTTTTTCTGCTGCAAATCATTAAGACTGCTTTTTAAATTCCAAGTCTAGGTCCAGGTACCTCCTGGTCTTATTTCTGTCTTTTCTTCTGTATATGTTTAGTTGGCAGACATAGCTGTGGATAGTCTGTGTCGTGGTGTGTTTGCGGGGGACAGCAGGAAGCTAAGTGTACGTTCCTGTTTTCCACCTTTCTACAAGGCAGAGCAGAAAAGAGGCTCCCTGACTCTCGGATTTCTGCTGGGCTCAGGTACACATCTCACATGTCATCCATTTATCTCTTTTCTAAGCTGTTTGATTGTTTTCTATTGTATGGGTATACACATGTTTTATGTTATGTTTTCCTTTTTACTTTATTTTACTTTATTACTATTCGCACCTTTATGTCGAAGCAAATTCCTAGTTTGTGAACCTCGTTCATTGACACGGCAATAATAAACTGATTCTGATTAATTTTTTATTGCCTTTGTTTTGCTAGTTGCAATAAAGAAAAATGTTTTTTTTTTGTTGAGAGACGTCCCACAAATTTTAACTGGTTTTATTGTTTAATACTGTAAATAATATAGCATTGCCTTATGCTTTCTATTGTGAACTTTTAATGGTTAAAGGTGGTTTCTCTAGAACAGGGGTGCCCAAAGTGGGGCCCGCGGCCCGCCAAGCTGTCCTCATTGCTATATTAAAATTTCCTTTGAAGTATCAATATGTCAACTCATTCATTCTGACTTTAATGTTAAATGGAAAGTCAGCCCAGTGACTACCGTAATGGCACTACACAGCTGGAGTGGCTGATTTGTGCCTTCATTTTTTAATTTTTACTAATTTATACTTTATTTTGACAGACTTCCTATAGCTTCCTGTCATTGAAAAACACTTTCCTTTGTCAAAGCTGGGCATCATATGGCTGCCCAGCACCCATCCCTCTGCGGGTGGATTTTTGTTACACACAGAGTGAAGCCTCGGGTCACATGTACCAAACATCTTGCTCAGGGTTTCAATTTTCCTACCATAACTCCACCCACTCTGTTATCATGTGACCAGAATCTAACTGACATGACCAATGAGGTATAATCTCAAGGACCCATTCCCCATTATAGACATGAATTAATTTCTTCAGATCATTACTGTATTTTGCACCTCATGCACAGACCTGTTCATCAGCAGCGATTGAACAAATAAAACCTACATTGGATATGTAAACTGAAAATAATTACATAAACACATAAACTAACAAAATGCCTAGATCAGACCACACTTCAGCAAGTGTTGGACTGTACAGATCAGGCACGCTTAGCACAGCATGTCAAGTCCAAAACTTGACAACAAAACAAGTTTAACTTACTAATAACTCATCAACACCATCACAATTCCAATAACAACACATTCAGTGTAGGACAACACTCCAGTAGTCAATTACATGCCAGGGAGACAGAAAAGTGGGTGAAGAATTTATCTAACAGACAGCTCACCCAGCCTGAGACAGAGATTCTTGCCAGGGGACTGAACTTTGCGGTTGCACCAAGTAGAATTCCTCTGGTGGAGATGATCACAGCTACTGAGTCAGCCATCCGCAACAACAAAATGAAAGAGGCTGAAGCAGAACAGCTCAGAATCAAAGTTTCATCCTGCCTCAGCAATGCCAAACCACCACCTTCCAACATCAGTAGAGAGGAGAGGGACGCACTCACCACTCTTAGCAAGGACAAAAACATCATCATTCTCCCAGCAGACAAAGGAAGGTGCACAGTGATTTTGAACCAGAAAGACTATCATGAGAAAGTTATGACACTCCTTAGTGACTTAACCACTTATGAACCTCTGGAAAGAGATCCAGGAAGTGGTTACAAGAAGAAGTTAATAGATTGCCTGAAAATTTTGGAGCAGGACAAGGCTATTGACCGTATTCTGTACCACAGACTGTACCCAGGGGAGGCCACACCTAGTCTGTATGGTTTACCTAAAATCCACAAACAAGGTGTACCTTTAAGA